GCCAACAATTCAAGGCATCAGACTTTGTATTGCATATATTAATAACATATGTGGTTTATTTAATATTTAAACAGTGTAATTAATCTATATAGAAAGGTAATTAAACTCCTTCCTCTCATTCTGCAATTTCTTTTATTATCTGTTTGTAAGACCCTAAAAAGTTTTAATACAAAAATAGTGGGGGAAAAAAAAAGGAGGAGTCTTATTTTTGAGTCAATAATTAATATGGTAAAGTATTTTACGAGACCCATTCCTTAAATTTGAACATTTATTCCAAGAAATAAAATGTTTATGGTATGCATTTGAAAATAATTTTTTCAAAACACAAATTATGAATATTATATGATTACTTCTCAACTTTGTGATCTAAAAACAAACTCATGTCATCAATTCTTCTGTCTGCTTTGATAGTAGATGAAAAATTATTTCTGAATGATTCATTCACAATTAAGTGCAAAACATTACATACTCTCTATGCAGCTGTTTCAAATAAGTAAAACTCTTATCTCAAAACTAAGCTTAAACACTATGCAAAATTCTAAGAAAAAGCTAAATATTATATCATCTTAAACTAAATCAACTTTTAATTTATCTCTCATTTTTATTAGATTCATAGACAAAATAATTTGAATAGACATTTCAGAGTATATTTAGATGGCTAATTTATCTTCATTGAAAATTTTCATCAAACTTCCCTTTTATCTGCTTGATGATTATGTCGTACAGTTTACACATATGCATTAGAATTTACATGCAGGCAACATCACTTCCCTCTAATTAACAGGATTAATTACAAGACATAGTTCTTTTCCTGAATATTTTAACAGAGATAGCATCAGCAACACCAACCTCTGCATCTGTGAAGAAATTGGTACCCCAGACCGTTATCTTATCATCTGCACACTTACGAGAGAACACCACCTTAAAATCGCTGGTTAATAATACACAAGCCAACATCAGGATCACCCAGATTATTGACAAGCTTGCAAAACTTGGAGCTAATCTATGCCTCATTATATAATTTTTTTCTTTTCTTTTTTAAAATTTTATTATAATATTTTTTGGGGGGGGGCTTCACAGGAAGAGTGCCTAGAGTAAGAATTTAATATTCACTCAGTTTTTCTCCCAGAACTTTAACTTGCTGTATTAGTACTGCATTTGGATGTTGTGCAATATTTGTTTGTAAATTTCTGCAAAGTCTGTGAAGTTGTTGTCTTTGTAAAGTAATGCGTACTACTGTAAAAGTATATTCTGCTTAAAGTATTTTGAGTACCTAAAATAGCGAGTGATAATATTTTAAACAAAAACTTGAAATCTCGAGCCACAATATTTCAGCCGTTAAATTCTCAAGCTATGATATTTGGGGTGGTTCATGGGCACATTTTTAGTTACACATATTATGTAATTATGTCCTGAGCCACAATGGCTACAATATCTTACAATATTATTTGATTATCTCCTAATGCTAGATAAATGGGGACACAAGATAATACCACCTAACCTCTCAGTAGAATGATTGTGTCTCTGCCTCCCGTCAACTGTATTGCCTTTTTTATGAAGTTACTCTTTATAACTGTAATTATACTGAGTCCATCTACAAAAAACAGTTGTTTACAATTTCTTCATAAGTTCACTTCTTCTTTCAAATTACATGGTTATTATTTCGTTTTAGCTATTACTACAAAAGTACACCTCACTATTCCCACTATTTAGCCCCTACGCAAGCAAAATATTCATCTTTGCATAACGTCTCAGTTGTAAATTTGAATTAATTTAAATTCATCAACTCTGATGCAACAGTAATTCATCAACTCTGATGCAACAAAGTAGAGGGTGCTATTTTATATGCAGATTTAAATTTCAACTATAATATTACAAATAATACTAGAAAACAAAATTAAAAGTTACAAGATAACATATACTGCATAGTTATCTGTTACAAGTTCTATGATTAATATCAACTGTCGATACATAATGCTTAATTAAACCTAACAAATGACAAAGGCTACTAGGCTGAATTTTAAAACTGTGCAAAATTTAACATTTTACTAGCATTGATGTTATTTTATTTAAAATAAAATTCTGCATATTGCAAAATAAATTCTTCTTCCCAATTTAAATTGACCCTTGTTTTACAGAAAATCTTAATATATTTTGAGGAAATCTGTCACGGTCCTCTCTACTACAGGAAAAAATATTCTGTGTCATTTAGATGAAAATACAGTGGTGGACAAAATTGTGGACACTTTTGGAAATTTTTATGTGTATGCTTATAGAAAATGTTACGTTTCGCAAAATGCAAACTTGTATATATCATTTTAAAGAGAATTTATTACTGAATTCAATACAAAACACAAAATTCAATTATTTGCAATACAAAAAAGTTATATGTACTTTAATATAAATAAAAAAACACAGTTATGAAGTGGTTTGTAATGTCTAGCTTTCCTGGCCAATCACTGTTCTTGTACTGAGAACCAATCAAATGTTAGTAACTGCCAGTAGAAGCTGACATCATGTTTACTCTTGAAACAATTCATTATTTTGCTTTGTTCTGTAGAAGGAGGACCTGTTTCTTATACACTGCAATTACAAGTAGGAATTTTTGTAAAAAATTTTTAATATTTTAGTCAAGAAGCAATGACATCAAATAAAAGAGTAAATTGGACACCTAGAAAGAGATGTAATATTATTGTGTTACGAGAAAGTGGTCTTTCCTATGCTGAAATTGCAAGACAGGTGGGTGGTTTTCAGTGACTACATCTGGAGTCCGAAAGTTTTTGTTATGATATCAGGAGACAAATTCAATAAAAAACAAAGAGGAAAAGGCCGAAAAAAGGTGCACCACATCTATTGATGACAGAAGAATAAAAAGACTATGTCTCCAAGATAGAAAAATGTCATCACTGGAAATCAGAAATGATCTGAATGATGCTGGTGTTTCTGTCAGTTCAAGAACAATCAGGAGAAGATTAACAGATGTTGGACTGAGAGGTAGAATTCCACGAAAAAAGCCTTATCTTAATTTTCAGCAAAAAAAAAAAAAAAAAAGACTACAGTGGGCAAAGGAACACATTAATTGGACAGATGATCAGTGGTCACAAGTTATATGGAGTGATGAAACTAAGATATCGTTATTCGGTAGTGATGGGCGAAAATATGTAAGACGTAGATAGGAGAAGAGCTACATCCTGACTGCATTCAAGCAACTGTGAAGAACCCAGTTAGTGTTATGATTTGGTCATGCATGTCAGCAGATGGTATTGGTCGCCTTCATGTCATCAATGGGACACTGAATGCCAGAAAATACATTGACACTATTCTAGAACCGAAACTTCTACCTTCCATCAGAGATCTCTTTCCCAACAATGCTTCTGTTATTTTTCAGCAGGATTCTGCTCCTTGCCACGCGGCCAAAATATCGAAAGAGTGGTTTCATACAAAGAGCATTAAATTGTTGTCATGGCCAGGAAAAAGTCCTGACCTCAATCCTATCGAAAATTTGTGGCACCGTTTGAAAACTCTTGTCCGAATGAGAAGCCCATCAAATAAAAGGGAACTAATTGAGGCTATAATTGTTTCCTAGCATCATGTAATAACAAAAGAAGAGCTTAAAACTCTTGTCAGCTCAATGAAACGTCGATGTGAAGCTGTAATCAAAAATAAAGGGTACCTACCCTACTTAATTCCGATAACTCACTGCAATCATCACTATCTAATGTATATCGATAACTATTATTGTTTAACTTTTTTTGTATTGCAAATAATTGAATTTTGTGTTTTGTATTGAATTCAGTAATAAATTCTCTTTAAAATGATATATACGTACAAGTTTGCATTTTGTGAAACGTAACATAATAAGCATAAAAGTTCAAAAACACAAAAATTTCCAAAAGTGTCCACAATTTTGGCCACCACTGTATATCATTTAAACAGATGAAACAAAAAGTAAAATTAATAAAGAAATAAAACATCAATAACTTTAGTGTCATACTAAGAACAAAACGGAGATGCAAGGATTAAAATCCTAAAACATTACTTTATCAACTTTCAGAAAACATCACAGGAATTTCTTAACAGAAGTTAATTTCGATAAATTAGTTAAGGGTTTAAGAGAATTTAATATGGTACTTTTCCATTATGCACCTGCCATACATTTAGGCAGCACTATTGTAATAATATGTGTATGTGTGTTTAATTATTCTAGTTTACATAAAAGCACACATAGTTCCAGATGGTGCTAACATTGAGTTTTGCCATGTGTTTGGCTCCACTTTCACAACGGCTAAAAAGCACAGCATATAGATAATGGAGAAGTACTTTTATTTATTAATTGAAAGGGTTTTTTTAGATATTTTAAAGAACTAAAGTATAACAGAAATGTGGATGGGTAAGGAACTAAGAACAAAAATTGAAAATGCATTAATTTCTTTATTAACTTTATTTATTGATTTCTTTCTTCACTTCTTCTTTACTGCATATTTCAATGTGAAATTTTACAGCTCTTTTAATTTGGTTTATAATAATAAAACAGATTGATAAGAAATGCTATAATTCTTCAAGGATTAAAACCTGAAATAATCTTTAGAACTGAATAACTAGTTTTATTTATAAAAGAGAAAAATAACTTGAAAGGTAAAATTGTGAAATAGTAAAATTTTTTTTAATTAACAAAGGGAAAAAACAGGATGAGAACAAGATTATTATTATTGTTCCTTCCTTACAGTAAGCATATTTTTTTTAAATAGCTTTATCTATAACTGAAGCAGAAAACCTGATAATAACCACTTTCAAGTAGTTGAACAGGAGATTCCTCTGCAAAACAAACATTAAAGGCATAAAAAGTGTAAGAATAAAGAAAAAAGGCTATTTTTTGCATAACAGAATGATAACATACAATGGAATGTTATTTTTTGCTTAGCAACTACATGTATACATATGCACATTATTCCATCTTTAAATTTATTAATTTATTTTCAAAACATGTTAAGATAAATTACCACTTTTGATAGAAATATCACAGCTTTCATCTTTCTTATGCTCAAATTCTGAAAAATGAACATCTTCAGGTTTAAGCTTTTCATCATATTCCACATGAAATTTATGATGCTTTACGGAATCCATCTTTAACCTAAATGGAAAAAATAAATCTTGAGTACTATGCAAACAAACACTGAAGCACAATAAATAAAAGTATATCAGATAATAATTTCTACGTAACACTAAAAGTTTAAATGAAAAAAAAAAAAAAAAAAATCCTTTCAAATTCACTAATTTAAAAGACTACTTATATCAAGCACTGCCATGTAAATGAGCTTTTGCCAATCCCTATATTTTAATAACTATGCAAATCCTGCCAGTTTATTTAACAGTAATACTTTATGAAAACAGTCAAATAGTTTAATGGACAAAGCACAGCAGTCTCTGTTCTATAGAACTGTGCTAATTAAAGTAAAAGCTTGACTACCCAGAAAACTCAAGAAGTGATAAATTCTGGATGTATGAAAATTTCAAATCTTTGAATGTATAAAAAATGAAATTCACATTAGAAAAGCCAAATGAACAAGGAAAATTTCTGGTTTATGAAAGTTATGAAAACAATCATATTATTTGCTATCAAGCTGAAAGTCAATGCATTTCATGGGCCTTGAACATGAAATTAAAACACCTGATACAATTATGAAATCCCAACGAACATGAAAGTCAGTGCAGATGACACCAATCATTCTGACAGAAGTTTAAACAAACATATCATTCTTTATTTATTAGATAATAAACAAACACAAATTAAAGATATAGAATTATTTTAAAAAACTCAAATTCATTACAATAATTTTTCACATTACATCGCCACTGTTTATCCGTTTTCAAAGTCATGTATCATGGTCATTTGTGATGCCCGGATCCTGTAACTTTAAAAATACTTCACGTTGACTCCAAAATTAATATTTTTTTTTTTTTTCAAAATGCAAGGGGAAAAGGGAATATGTATTATTATTTATTAGAGAAAAAAATCCTCAGCTTATTGAGAATTAATCGAGTTTACATTAAATAACAATGAACATCTTATGAGTGCATTGTGACATAATGCTTATCCATTATGACTGCTACTGTTTAGTAACAATATATATATGTTAACAGCATTACAAATCTCTCCTTTACTAAATTTGGGGGGGGGGGGATTTTTTTCTTAAAATTCCAAAATATTCCAGGTTAAGCTTTCTAGTTAGCCGAGTGCCAGATAGACAGACTTATTAGCAAAATTTCTTAATTGAGATATTGAAAGCTTTCACTAACTTCATTCAGATTTTAATATAAAAAACTGTAAAACATATTTTTCATTATATTTATTCTATCTTCTAAGGACAGAAATTTAAGGAAAAAAAATAAAAACTATATAATTCAAAAAGTACATTGTTAACCAATCATAACACATAAAATTTCAATTTGAATATGGTACTCTTCTGTTATCGGTATCATGTGTGTCTGTATTTGTGTATATGCGAATATATCTGTGTGTATATATACATGCATACATGAGCACTAATATCCATACATGCATACGTTTAGTGTAGCTGGCAATATGTGAAGAAGGATCATGCAGCGTATTTCCATAAGCAATGCTGCCTAATTACCATTCTATGATCTATCCTAATCACCAAATTCTAACAGACTGGATCAGTGGCAGACAGACACTGTTTTAATCGGCCAACAAAGCTGGATGATGAAAAAGTGTTAAGACATTTCAGATTCACTGTTCCAGAGACTGTCCACCTGGAAACTAGAAAAGCAATAACAAGTTGGTATTGTGACTGTCCATAATGCATTATGAAAGAAATTACAATTGTTTCCATACAAGATTATGACAATGATGGAACTTAAAATATCTGATCATGGCAAGCAGATGCTTTATTGTAACTAGTTCAAGAACTTCAAGAATCAAGGAAATGAGGAGCATACAGAATGTAGCATTTTTTAGTGACAAGGTCTGGTTTAACATTTTGAGATTTGGGCTTTGGCAGCTGTAAAAGCCTTGAAAGGATGGGGTATCTTGAACCAAATTGCAACAAAGAGCCTAGTGTGTAGTTTAATGAATTCTCAGAGGGGTGCATTTATGTCACAAAAAGAAGGGAAATGTAGGGATTAGTGACCATACTTCAAGATGCCTTCTGTCATTGAGAGAAAATTTCATATTGCAGTTGTTCCAGAATAAGACTATTGGGCATTATGCAGAAGTAAATGTGTAAAATTAAGATGCAGAAAATGCCATACCTAATACGTTACTTTCTTTTTACAAATAACTTGTTTGAATTTTAAATTACATTACAAAATTATGTGTCTTTAGGAAGTGCTTACAATAATTATTTCTATCATATCTTTATATTAATGTTATGTTACCAAATTATTTCAACTATTTGATTATTTCATGGACAATTTTAAATTTAACTAGTCTTCACCTCAGTCTTTTTTTTTTTTTTTTTTTTTTTTTCACTGCTAAATTTCCTTATAATTTTTAATTTGTTTCAGTATATATTATCAAATTTAGCTACTTGAACTTTTTTCCAAGAAGGAATGATTAAAAATTAAAGTTCAGTGGAATTGTTAAAATTATGCTGTATAAGCATAATGGAATTTTAATTTTACATAATTGTTAAAAATCTGCTTGATAGCATACTATTTAAAGAAAAAACTTTCAGCAAATTAGAATATATCTGGTTTAATTAAAAATAATTTAATCTTGTTGTAGATTATTAGTATTGCAATATCCAATTATGTAAGTGTTCCTAATTTACATTCAATTATTTTCCAAAATATCTGCAGAATAAAACAGAAGCTGCAAAACTGTTTCCTAGAATAATATATTTTAGTTTTAAAATTAGTAAAAAAGGATTATTTAATCATGTACCATTTCATACTGTCTATTGAAAATTTGTAAGTAATGTATTTCAAGTATTAATAACAGAATGAATTTATGTCATTAAAAGTGTCACTTATTTAGTATGAAAAGCCATAATTCAAAACACCACATACATTCCATTTGTGTTTTTATATTAAATTCTCAGCTTCAATAAGGGAATGTGTTCCCTCGGGTATCAAAATGAAGGTAATTTCTTAGTGCAAAGAATTTTTCAAATTTCAGGAAAAATAGTTTCTTATGTGTAGTTTTTGAAAAACTGCAGGGGGAAAAAGTTATACAATAGTTAGTTCTCTTCAATACCCAATTATATTAGTCTATATTTTGTTATGCTATATAATTTAGCGCATTTAGAGAAATTTCCAGATAATTTCAGGTCCTCGGTCAGCGAGAATCTCTCCTGTTTGCAACTGAACGCTCCTGTTTGAACATTTTACTTCAAAACTATCTGACTCTGAAATCAAGACACTGATACAGAGGTAGCTTTTAAAATGTGCCACCTGGAATATAATGGTTAGAGATGATCCCCAGGGGGAAGCACAATAACGAAATTCCTCTCTTCTACAATGACAAAAGCTTTCAAACTGACTGACTAGTTTTTAGTGTATTTACGATTTCCAGGTTTTCAGACACAAATTGTAAAGCTATTTTTGTTTCTTTGACAAAAAATTTATATTTATGTTCTTGTGATTTGTTTGAATAACACTACCATCATAGTAGACTTCTGTGTGTAAAGGTCACTTCAGCATGAACAGATATATATAGAAATAAAGACAGATAGAACTGTTAAGAATGAACTGATAAGAATCTAAGAAAAAACTGCTTGCACCTGTATACAAGTACGTGGGAAATTATATTAGTTTATGAATTACCTACATATCTACGTAGTATGTACGTCTGCATTTATATAATATGATATAAGTGAAAGTATACACATAAAGTAGAAAGCATGCATACCCTTAAATGGGAATGAAGTATACATGTTACTGTCAAAGACCAAAATTGGACAATGTTGACATTCACCGGCGAATGTCAATACATACCAAATACGTTGGTGAATGACCGAATATTTGGTTATATTCTTGTACATTCGGACCATCACCTGTGTATGTCGACAATCACAGATCTACTGTGGTGGAGGTCGACAAGAGAAGTCGAGTTCAAGAGGGGGGCAACTGTCTGTCGCAAAATCCTTTGCTCTGCTGAAATGAAGTTATGTAGCATGTATTTGTTATACTCTGGAACACTATTTGTCAGTCTTATGCTAGGTTTGATGGCACATGCAATGTTTTCTTAATTTTTTTTTTTTTTAATCTGATACTCTAATTTATGTTGAATGGATACTGCAGTGAATTGTGAACTTTTCCCTGAAAAGTTAAATGCATTAAATGCAAGTAAACGAGAAGACAACTGTTTTTATTTTTCAAATACAGCTTTCAAACACATCCCTCCTCACCGGGATTGATTACTTCCTTATGAAGCTATGTCTGGCATTAAACCAAGAAGAGGCATAGCATCGTCTTTTTTGCTTGGCGAACAAATCGCAAATACTGAAACTGAAGAACAACTCTTAAGAAATTGCTAATACTTTTGAAACCGAAGAACAGCTTGAAAAAAACTGTTAATACTTTTGAAGAAAATCTGAGCAGTGGCCATACCAAAAACCATATTCCAAAGAAAAATATTGAGGAGAATCTGCAACCTATCACGTCTTCGTATCAAGCTTGGACTGAACAACAAGAGTTAATTTCAATAAAAAGATCAGGCACGAATGAGAATTTTTTACTGCAAGCAACGAAAATGTTATGATTCTAAAAAAAAAAAAATCCCTGCTCAAATTGGCAATACCGTACAAATACAAGTCCCTGATGTCGACTGTGGTTGTCCAGATGGCCGAAATGTGTTGGTAGTTGTTGGTAGTTGGTGTGGGTTTTATAAACTAGCAAATAAAAATGACACCTTCAAGCAGCTTTATACCCATAATCAGTTCATAATTTGTAAAGAAAAGTTACTTTCTGTAGATGAGATTCCTTCTTAAGTAATGTCACTGAGAGAAGCAGCTGCAGCTAATTCAAGAAGTAGAGGGCAAGGCTATACACGCTGTCACTGCAAAAGGAAGTGTTCCACAACTAAATGCAGTTGTAAAAGCAAGGGACTCTTGTGCAATTCAAAATGTCACAAAAGTTTATGTTGTTGCAATAAATAAGATTTCAATC